TGATGATCGAAAATAAGAGGCGGCGGGGGGGGGAGGGAGAAGGTCCTTTTTGCCCCTCCCTTGCTTAGAAAAACCATTTAGCACCACTAAAAATGTCGTGGCGCGGTATTTTACGACATTGCCGTTCGTCCCCCTCAAAATCATGAGGCGGCTCTACGTCTCCACCCCCCCCAACGACTCAGCCCCGCCTCCAACTCGTCAAGTCCCGCCCCTTCACCCTCCTCCCCCGCCCAAACCGCCGCTTTCGAGGAAACCTGCCGCGCTTTTCTCGCCGGCCGCTGGGCGCGACGCCCTCGTCCCCTCCCTTCCCCCCTCCGACGCCCTCGTCCCCGCCTCCCCCGTCCCAACGCCGCTCTCTCATTGGCCGCGCCGGTCACGCGGGGCTTGGGACCCACTTAGTTGCTTTCCCTCCGCCCGGCGGCGGCGGCCGCCGCCTCAGCTTGGGCGGCTGTAACCGGTTTGGGGCAGGAAGCGGCTCAGTCAGCACAGGCTGCAGCTCGAACTGGGCGAGGGGGCGGGAGAGAAAGGAAGCGTCGCCTTTGCCCGGAGCGGGGGAGGGAGCCGCCGCCGTGGTCCATCAGCCACCCCCCGCCGACCTTCTCCGCCTCCAGGTTCGTCACAGAAACCCTCCGGCCGGGATGCGGAGGCGGCTGGAAAAGGAGGGGGGGGGGGGGGGTTTTTTTCCCCCTTTGTGCGGCTCTTCAGTAGATGTCTGTCTGCGGTAGCGAGGGTGGTAGACTTCGGCTGCTGCCTCGAAAAGAAAAAAACTAGCAGACAAAACAGGGGTCCCCTAGCGTGCGATAAGTAGAAAACGGCAGGAAAACGGAGATAATTCCAATTTCCAATCACCTTTATTATTGGCATAACACATCCGAGATTAAATGCGCTTGAAATGTCTTGAGTATATAAAATAGATTAAGTAAGTGTTTCAATGGCAAATGAACGTCTATAATGAGTTGGTGGTCAGACATTTCAAAGTGCATTGAATCTTTGGTGGTCTTCCCTGGGCGTTTTTCTGCTGTTTTTCTATTAAAAAAGAGAAGGGGGGGTGGAAAGCATTGTCCTAGTTGGGAGGAGTGAATCAGTGTAGAAAAGTGGTCCTTTGTGTGTTGGTACCTCTGTGTTGTGGTTTTGTATATATTGTCTGTCTCCAAGTATTACTAGTGTTCAGGTCCCCCCCCCCCCCCCCAAAGGAGTTCTGGCTGGTTAAAAGTGGTGCCTTGTGTCATTTTGTGGTGCATTGCACAAGGTGCCTCCAACACTAGGGAGTGGACTGCCTCTATTTGTTGTTACTGTTTTTATGCTGGTTGTCATCCAAAGAGTTGTGTTGGGTGCTGCTGCTTTTTCGCCATCTCCCCCTTTATCTGCACAACAGCCCTGTGGAGTGAGAGAGAGTCACTGACCCAGGGATTCATGGTTGAGTTGTGGGTTTGAACTGGTGTCTCCCTCTGGTCAAACTTTCTCAGCGTTGTTTTATTTATTTGCAGCATTTCTAGTCTGCTTGGGGGGGGGGGCTCTGTACTCATGTTTAATCCTAATCAGGGTATAACCCAGTTTAAATTCTTTGTCATAATGGCCCGTCTTTCTTACTGCCTGGATGCAAATGAGTACAGTAGGGCTTCTGCAGGTTGTTAACAGCTGTGCAGAAAGAAGGAAGTTTGGCAGTTGCAGCTTGCCAGGTGCATGCGGTGGACATCTGCTGTTACTGACATCATCTGTGGTGTTAAAGCTATGAAATGCACAAAGCCTGGAGGGGTAGCCATGTTAGTCTATTGCAGCAAAAATAGACAGGAGTCTAGTGGCACTGCATGGAAGTGTTCCATAAGAAACTTTCAGGGACTAGACTAGAACCTGCTTCAGATGCTATGAGTGATTCTTCTGGATGCTTTCACTTTATGTTGGAAATTTGGGGGAGTGGAATCAAGACACAGGATCTGTGTCTTCCTTTTCATCTAGTAATTATTCCTCATTGCCTCCCCCCCTTTTTTGGGAAAATGCTATACTGATATAAAAAACAGTGGTAGTGATTGCAGCATTGGCCCATCTAGCATCAGGACGCTTAAGGTTGCTGACTATCGGTGGGCTGCTGGAGTACTGCATCATGCTTGTTCTCTGTTTAGGAGAGAGGGCGGTCTTACCTCTGAGGCCAAAGTTGTTTTTTTGCATTAACATTTTATTGGATGTACAAATATCCATATAGTTTATACGTATCATTTAAAGACACTCCATTTCTTATATATTCTCCTCCTTCTAGGAATTACAAACATATAAATGCTCTCCGTCCCCTTTACCTTACTCCCTTTCCTTACCCGTTTGCCAAGCCACCATACAACTTCCTATAATACCTATTCTGATCGTTATTACATTGTTTCCTAAAAATTTTCAAAACTTCTTCTTTACTTCTTCTAGAGACTTCCCTCTTTACTCTCTGAGGCCAAAGTTGAAGGAGCAAAGTAGACTTTGTATTGGAAGGATCAACCCTTCACTCCCTTGTTACTACTTCACACATTTATATAAAATGGGATTCACTTTTTGGTTATATTAATAAACACAGCTATGTTTTCAGTATGATCACTTATTCTCTGCTTCCCCCCCCTCCCAGTTCTTATGGGAGGGGTGTCTGAATCCTACTGCTTCAGGCCTCATGGCGGGGGGGAATTTTCCTTTAACGCATTCTTTGCATTCGGAAACAAGGCTAGGCTCTGGAGCTGGGGTGTCAAACATGCAGCCCGGGGGCTGGATCAGGCCCCTGGAGGGCTTCTATCAGGCCTGCAGTGGAACTGGCTGACTTCTGCTTCTTCTTCCAATTCTGCTGCATCATCGTAGGTTTGCAGCTTACAGATACACACCTGAACAGCATACTCAAGATTGCAACAGCACAGACATTTTAATGCAGTAATTCAGAGCAAGAGGTGTCAGTTATCAGACACTGTTAAGTAAACAAAATATTGCAAGACTGCTAATGTTTTAAGCATGTTTTTATTTTAAGTAAAAAAAACACCCCTTTGTGTTTGTGTCCTTTATAAAGTTTATGCTACCAGGCATTACATTTTATGACACACATGGCCTGGCCCAACAAGGTCTCATTTATGTCTGATCCAGCCCTCATAACAAATGAGTTCGACACCCCTGCTCTAGAGCCCTTCTCCCTGACATCTTGTGTTTCGATTTATAGAGGAGAATTCAACATTGTGGACTTCTCTGCAGTCTGAATTGGTTCAGCCCCTCCCTACGGAGTCCTGCAGGATAGCCCTTGTGTTGATTCATCTTGTGCCTGATTGCTCACCATGGTGGTTAGATTAGAGAAGAGTCTTCCTGTCGGTATCTTATCCCTGTTTGCCCCTGTGTTGCATAGCATGTAGTGAAGGGTGCCAAATGCTTTCAGAAGCTGTCATGGAACTGGGGGGGGGGAGCCAGCGAAAGAGCAGAGGGCTCTAGTGAAGGGGTTTTAATTACTTCTGCTTGCTGTAGACACAGACATGAGTGTGGAAGAAATGTGTTAAAGGTCTTTCCACATGATACGTTGTGATAAACAGTCCTGTGTTACTCTACGCAGCTGATAGTGGGGCAGCTGTTGAGCTAGAGTAGAATGCGACTGCCTTAAAAAGCTCCTTAAGTGGAAGCTTGTGGATTGTCTGTCTCCTCCTGCGCTTGTCTTTTCATCCTATATTGTGTTTTAATATGGACAGAGGTGAGTGCTGAAGGCAAGAACCAGAATATAACAGCCTTCTTTATCAAATGCATAAAAGTGACTTACTGTACATGTTTTCTCTGCACTGTAGAAAAATTATATTACCTTGTGTGCCCAGGTTAACTTTTGAATTCTGTAATGCTGATGCGCCCTGTCTAGATGTGAACCTGTACTGATTATTTGAATTGCCCTGTGAGTAGGTACTGCTGCAGACCTGAGTTACCTGTTATGTTAAATAGAAAACCTGTGGCATTTGTTGTCTTGATTGTGTTCCTCAGTAGTTCCATTGGTAATAAGTTATCATATGGCATTGTGTGTAGAATAGCCTGGAGATCCTAGGATTGTCTGGCAGCTACAAGTTCTAGCTCTCAGTGTTGTGCTAGTGAGAAGCTAGACTCGTTTTTAGGGGCTGAGAGAGCTCTGAAAGAACTGTGACTGGCCCAAGGTCACCCAGCTGGCTTCATGTGGAGGAGTGGGGAATTGAACCTGGTTCTCCAGATTAGAGTCAGCCGCTCTTAACCACTGCACCAAACTGGCGTCTAGTTCCATTGATTTTAAATTGAGTTATATCACTTTGGCACATGACTGTGTTTAAACACAAACTCCAGAATAGTTGGTATACTTTCTGTATTTAAATCCCCCCTCCTCTTGTGTGTAAAAGAAATACCACTTGTAAACCAACAACTTTTAAGCCTTGCTGCTGGCACAGCAAAGTTACTGTCCATTTGGAAATGCCTTTATGGGAATAGTGCACTGCCATTTTCTAGTAGCTTCTCCAATTCCTTTAATCTTTGAAGCATTTGAAACAGCTTCCTTGGTTGCTTATGCTTAAAAGATGGATCTGAATTAGCTAGTGTAGTGTGGCTTAAAGCGTGAGGTGTTCATGTCTGTTAACCTCATCCTGGGAAAACTCAACCGGGATTTTTATTAATACGTTGATATGACTTCCGGCTTGCTCATCTCTTCCCTAAAAAGAATGAAATGCTTGGTGTGCGATATGGTGTTTTGAATAAATAGGCATAGTAAACAATAGCAGCATTGAAGCAATTTGTAATGCTAATTAAAATCAGCTACTGATTACAGTAGCAAGTAGCACTAGCTGACCGGATGTGGGCGGAACTGGGACCCCTGGAAGCTTTCCACTTGGCTCCCAGCATCGGGACTGATCCTCAGGACTTTTTAGTCATGCATCTCAGCCACTTTCTTCCACGTTGAGGCATGGACAAAGGGCACTTTAATCATCTTTCCTGTGAACAGAGCGAAAGGCCCTTTCCCAAGCCCTTCCCCGATTAGGCTCCTCTTCTGCTCACTCATGTGAACAAGTTGTGGCACACGCAGAAAGCCTCTGCTACTATTCACACCATGAAGGAAAGAACTGCAGAGGCCTTTGCTGGCCTTCCATCGAAAATTGAGGACCTGGGTAGTTAAATAATCATATGAGAATTATAATGCCTAGGTCTGTTCCATCCCAAGCAAGGAGCTGAAAATCGCGTGCTAGAATCTCATAGTAAGCATTCCTTAAAGCATCTTTAAAAAACCCCAAAACCAAGAAGTTGTGCAATACAGTCCAGGATTTCTAATCAATAAGGCTTTTAGAGGGGAGACACAAAAAATCTTCAGTGGCTGCTTTCGGTTGCAATAGTATTGACGTCCCTACCTGAGAATGAGTTGACTGTTCTGTTTCAGTGGATGGCAGAGTGCTGCATGGTGAGTTTTCTGTGATAGTAAGCTTCTGTTGTTATCGTCTCCTGGCTACCTGTTGAGCGAGGAAAAACTAGGTTCAAGGATGGTATTACAGGTCCTGCAGTATCGATTGTTTGACATTAGGTCATGCCTGACTCCTTCCGTAAGAGGAACAGCTCTTACAATTTCACTGACATATGCCACTTGCAGTTTAGACATGGTTTTAAGGCTTCATCAAAACAGTTTTGGCTTATCACATTTTAGTAGGATTTGTTTCCTCTATCCCGTACCGTGCAGCCTCAGATCTTCAGTGTTAAATTTTTGTAAATAAATTTTGGTGGCTTTTTGCCTTAAGGAGCATTTATATCTCTGCTCTTTCTCCTGATTAACATGAGAGCTCCTTAATGCTCTTTTAAGTAACTAAGGATCTCCAAAGGCCTCCTGTTGCCTTGTTCTCTCTTTTCATCAGATCCAGCAACTGCCACTTCTCGCTCCTTAATACCTCTCAGAGAACCCCTGCCTCTATCTCAAAGAGCCCTTGTAATGCCCTTCTTGTTCCGTAGAACTGTTGTTCTTCACTTGGTTCTCTCAATCTTTAATCTCTGGTGACCTTTGCGTATGCAAATCTAGTGCATACTTGTCTTAACTCTTGTATTTGTTCATTTGTTTGACTGGTGAGGAACTGTTTGTAGTTCATGAGCCAAAAATTGGCCTGTCCTTTCTTTATAATTCCTTAAAGCTAATCTGAGGGCTGCGGTGGCTCAGTGGTTAAGATGCTGAACTGCAGACCGGAAGGTCGGTAGTTCAGCAGTTTGAGACCTGAGTGCCACATGATGGAGTGAGCTCCCATCTCTGGTCCCAGCTCCTGCCAACCTAGCAGTTTGAAAGCAAGAAATTGCAAGTAGATAAATAGGTACCGCTTTGGTGGGAAGGTAACAGCGTTCCGTGCGCCTTGGCATCTAGTCATACCGGCCACATGACCACGAAAACGTCTTTGGACAGCGCTGGCTCTTCTGCTTGGAAATGGAGATGAGCACTGCACCCCTAGAGTCAGATTCGATTGGCTTTTGTGCAAGGGAAACCTTTACCTTTACTAAAGTGAATCTGCTTCTTATTATGCAGTACTTGTGTGACTAGTTTCTCACGTGTTCTCACAGAAACATGGGGCCTTGTCTCTGTGCTTCAAAGGAAATCTAAAGCTGCCAGAATGCAGCCATGATGAGTACAGGAAAATTCTCCTGTTCTTCTAGCTGGGGAGAAGGATGGGAGCTTGTTTCTGACCAACATGGTTTCATGCTGCTTTTGTGTACCTTCAAACCTCAACATAGTGTTGAGACAAGATTCCTCTCCTCCTGCATCATTTGGGAAAAGGTCAGAGGTAAGCTCAGGTTTTGACTAGCTACCCAAGGCCAGACTAAAACTGGTGATTCCTTAGTCGGATACGTAGAAAAACGGCAAAAGAAAATCTGCTGTGTTCTAGAATATAGAAATTATTGAAATCAATCAGGTGTTTCCAGTAGCCATTATACATTTTGATTACTTTTCAGAATTCAAGACTGAACCTTAGCCAAGTCTTGACTTGGTATGAATAAATGCAATGAATGTGGAATTTGTTGGTACGGTTGTATGTGTAAGTTATATGTTGAGTTTGGGTCTAAGAATACTGCCATGGGGTTGGGAGTGAGGACTCCTGTCTCCCCTAAGCCCTTTTCCTGTGTGGAAACAGCCCCAGGGGAGCTATTTCCCCTGTTTTTCCCTGTTTTTGCTTGTTCCACTTTGAGTGCTCCATGCATGTGGTGTAGCAAGAACAGGGAAAGTACTTCCCCCAGTGCTGTTTCTGCACAGGAAAATGGCTTGGGGTGGGGAGGAATTTTTTTAAATGCACTGTCTCACAGCTGCTGTGTGACTTCAGGGAACCTGAGTTGTGTCTGTGTGTCCTGGACCTAACCCATTAAAACCCAAGTGTGTAGTTTGGTCCTGGGCCTGCTACTTTTGTATATTACTTAGAACTTGAGAAGGCAGTATTAACCTTAGAATCAATTTACATAACTATTTGAAACTCCTGTGTTAGCTTCAGTTAAGAGGTTTACACAAGAAAGCTTGTGGTACTGAAATGTTTTTTCCCCCCTTTCTCAGTAGGCTAGATACTGCATCCATTAAGCTTCATTCACACAAGTATGGCTCGTTGTCAGGTTACCTTTGAAGTAAGAGGAGAATCTCCACCAGGTAAAAAAAAAGCACCTGTTCTGTATTGCAGTCTTGTAACAAAACTGGATGAAAAGCTGCTGCTTTACATGTGTATACAAGCGGGAAATTCCCACTGCCTTTCACAGACCCACTATTACGTTGAGAAGGTTTTCACAGATGTGATCTGGTGGCATTGAGTAGGTTGTGAGGATTTGTTTTGAATGAGGAAAACAGGTTTTCTGAGTTCCATTATATTCCCAAACATTGGGTTAAGACAGACCCGCTAGTGAGGTCAGATTGGTATATGAAATTCGCCCTGGCTTGCTTCCTACCTTGTTTGCTCCTTACCACATGATACTGCAGCTTTCCATTCGTTCCCCTTTGCCTGTGTAGTTCCTTGCTAGCAGGCAACGCACAGCTTGCTCTTTCCCTTGGAGCAGGGTTGAATCTGTTTCTGCCCGTGGTGAACTTTACTTCCCTCACAGAAAATATTGTTTTGTCAGCATTTTCGTCTGAGTTTCTCCTGCCAGCTCTGCATTTTTTACAGTGTTCATGAAATAACATTCCATGGACCATGACCATCACAGCAGCACAGCCAGTGGATAAATAGGTTCCAAGATAAGCAGTGGTTTTATCTTACAAAATAACAGGCTGCTTATGGTGCTCTAATTAACAGAATAAGTGATGTATAACCCAGCCTCTTGAAACTGAAATTTTAATCAGGATGAAGCTGCTTGACTTAATTTTGATTGCAAACAGAAGACAAAACAGCAACAGAACTATCAAAGGACTGAGGCAGTGGACCTGTTGGGAGAAGGTCCCAGCTGTTCACTCAAGGCCATCCCAGTCCTTCCAGCTGTGGCTCTTTCTATAATTTTGGTACTGAATTGCAGTTGCACAACAGAAGTATAGTTTGGTTCTGTATTTACTGTGTAGAAAGATAGGCCAGCTTGCCCCATCATATGAGGGAATGGGCAGAAACTGTTCTTAGTCAAGGGACTGAACTGAATGATCTTATGTTGAAAAGTACCATGGTGTAACTGGTAATCTAGTTGTTTGATAAATTATTGGCTTAAGAGTCAAGTACCCAGTTATTATCTCCTCTTTGGACTTAGAAAAACCCAACTGCACGTCACTTTAATTGCACGTCATCACATTTGGCAGTGTGGTTTTGAAATACTTGGGTTTTTCCCCCCTAGAGGGTAAAGGAGATTGAACAGTGTGCCCCACTTCAAGCTTTGCTTTGTTAGCACTAGCCTGAATGTCTGGCTCTTGCTATTAATTAGCACCAGATTTCTCATCTTCTCATGAAATGAACAACTCTTTTCAAAGAAGCCTAGTGTTCCTTTCCACAAGTTTCAAAAGTTCGAGTCCTAACCAGAGTCCTGCATTTCCATTATCCATACATATCATTTTTCCTACATAGACTAGAATTCTCAAGCATTGTGACAAGCTGACCACATGTCTGTTCCAAATGGTGTCATTAGGCTTAAATCCTGACATTGGACAAGGGTAAAGGATGCAAAATTATTATGCTACATAAGAAATAATGCAAACTGCATACGGGTTGGGTGTCTGCACAGTAGGCAAAATCCTGTGAAATCCTCAATTTCTATATAGCATTTTCATTCCATTTAGCATATGTTGGAAGCTTTAGCTTTCCTCTCAGGTGGGAAATACTTGATGGTGCTGGTGTAATCTTTCTTATTTTGTACAGTGATAGTCTTCATCTTTTTTTCAATATATCGTTTTAATGTAACTGCTTTTCCTGTGAGAAATAAAACTTTGTAATAATACTGTAATGATACTGTCGAGTGGGTGCGAAAAGAATATCTCAGGAACTAGTTGGGCGGCATGTTGTACATCTAATTTGCTGAAACTAAGGAAATCTGGGTCCGGTCTCTGCCTGAATAGTAGATCTGGTAGTCAAGGTTCCCCATACCTGCTATTGAAACTATCCTCATGTTGGTTGGGCAAAATCTGCATAATCGCTCAATTTAATTTCCTGACTAAGAGGGGAAAGCATTAATTTAAAAACTCATCTTTATTCTCCTCTTTATATTGTGGTTCATATGAGTGAGGCTAAGTAACAAGGCCTTGCTCTGTAGTAGTACCTATAGCTCCTGGTCTCTTAGTTTCCCAGTTTCGAGCTTTTCCTGATAGCTAAACTGACCTTGCATAGTAAAGTTGTTATGAGCGTAGTGCAGCATTCTTCCAGTCATCTTGCCCCCTCAGATGCTGGTTTCTTCTGTTATGTTGCATAATGTAGTCAAGTCAGCAGTATGCAGGCCAGTGGCGTCTCAGATAACGGGCACTTGGCTCTTCTTAGCCTAGTACTAGCAACCCGTATCAGTGAACGCAAGGCTACTGATGTAGAAACACATTGCACATATATATCTCGAAGGCATGCCCTGATCTTAAGCACCACTTTGCGTTATCAGTGATGCAGCTCTTGCTCCCCCCTCTGGATTTTTGCAGTACAGTATGCACATCAGGCAGCTCAGGTTTACAGCCAGCTTTTCTTCCCTAATGGATCTCAAGGGGGCCTATAACAGATCTACTGTTCAGGCAGAGATCAGACCCAGATTGCCTTAGCGTCAGCAAAGTGGCTGTACGACATGTCTGCCAACTAGTTCCCGAGATGTTTCACTGAATAAATCAAACACTTTTTAATACCCATTTTGTGGGTTCTGAATACAAATAACCAGCCTCTGTTGAATGCCATGTGGGGGAGTTAGAAAGTGTTACCAGAGTCACTGTTCACTTCACTGATGTGGGAGAAATGTGCTAATAGAAGGTTACATGTGCCACACCTGCTTATATGTTTAGGCGTCTATCAGAGAGAGAAGAGCCTGAGATTTGAGCATACAAGGAAGCAAGACAGGGAAATTTCTGTTAAGTTTGCCTTACCTTGGGCTATGCGGTAGTCAGGGCGGAAAATATACCCCACTGGCCCACCGTTTGCATGTGTGCGGCTAGTCTTTTGTCCACCGCTTTGACTGTTTTAATAATATTTCAGGAGCGGGAGTGCAAGCTTAGAATTTAGATCCTGCACTTAGCATCAATGTGGGCTTGATCACCCAAACACTGACAAGGTTGGAAATCTTTACTGTGTCTTTTAAAACATGTGTTAATCTTCCTAGGAGTGGTTTTTGCCCTATGTGGAAGCTGCAAATCTCTGGGAAACTGGGATCCACAGTGTGCAGTAATCCTTCAACCTGAGGATGAGGCTGGTGATGTGTAAGTTTCTTTCACCAGTAAATAGGAATAGTATCTCCTGGTCTTCAAGGATGACTACAATCACGACTTGTTCTTCGCTTGACTCTTCTGGCTGACCATTTCTTGCTGGTTTGGTCTCTCTGCTTGTAATCATTTTTGGCTTAATGTTCCTGTGAGAAAGTACCTCAGAGGGGGAAAAAATCTGCCTGCTTTAACAAAGATGTGTGATCCTCCGACGATATCAAACAGTCACAGTTTCTGATTTCAAACACACACCCCCCCCCCAAAGTTTTGCATGGTTTTGCCCTCTTCTTAAAAGAACTATGTCCTCCGTAGTCTACTCTGGAGAGTTCTTTCCAAGGAAACAGCATCTGCCCACAGACTGCTCCCACTGTATGTGCAAAAGTGTGTATATGGGGATTGGGGTTGATGTAGAAATACTCCCCTCCAGCTGCTCCTGTCGTTCTGTGGAGCTCTGGCTTTGATTCAGTTACATGGGTGAAGCAGTTTAGACATCTATTGCTGCCTATTTGTTCTTTCCCTGCTGCTGTGATGGTGGGAATGGGACAGGCAGTAGAAATTCATGAGCACTACTGTGCTCTCAGGTTCTCTGACAGAGAGCCAATAACCGTGCTACATTTTCATCAAAGCCAGCACTTCTGAGCAGAAGGGAATCAAAAGAGGTGTTTCTGTTTTTCCATCTTTGAGATGCTAACTGGATAGGATAGCAATGTGATCTGGGAAATAGTGCAGTGAGCTCAGTGCATTCTGTAGGGTTTTTTTCATACCTTCTCCCCTGTCCTGCTGGTGCTGCTTCACAAGTCGTTTCGGAGCCCTAGCTGATAAGCTTTCAGACTTGAAGGATAAACTTTTTTTAAAGCAATCATGTACAGTGTGCATGCACATGGTTGTACTGGAAGGTGTAACATGGGAAAGACAGTCTTTGCCTAGATGTGTTTGTGAACCAGAGCCTGCGGTAGAAAATTCTTATTATTGGTCTTATGTTTGCATGCAGAGGCACTTTCGTGATGGCTTTAAATGTGTAGTTTCCTATTGTTTACCAGGAATAGCCTTTTGAAACATCATATAGAGGGGAAGGTCCGGCTGTGTTGGCTTTTGCACATCTAAAAATGAACTTCAGGACTGCAGCAGGGTCTCTTTAAATGTCATTGTTCGACTGTGTTTGGGGTTGATTGTTCGACTGTGATTGTGTATTTTACTAAAACTTTTTCCAAAATACTTGTTCCGCAGCCTGCTCTGGAAAGCTACTGTTGACCTCCCTAGAGGAGATGACATTGAGTATCGGTACTTTCAGGGGACCTTTTTACAACCCCAGGTACGTCTCCATAAACACTAATGTGTAATTCATTGGGTAACTCTAGGATGAGTTCGGGGTGGTACACTACTTGGAAATAGTTCACACCACAGTTTTCTGTTTTCCCGATTGCTTCAGTAACAAACATTTTCATAAGAAAATAGCATGAAACCACGCAGAAACCACCGTTTAAGGTAACAGCAGATATCTTAGAGCATGTGCACGTAATGGGAAGCGGCAATTGGTCACTGGTTCCCAGTATATGCAAATATATCAGAATGCATGTATGCAGTGATCTACACATACTTTTCCTATGAAAGTGCTTTCTATGTGGGGAGACTGTGACCTCTTGAAGTTCCTTTCAGTATTCAGCTTAAAAAGGGCTGGATCTGAAATGAGGTCACCTGGGGCAATCTCCTTCCCCCACCAGCTGTCATCTGCCTGTCCACCTGCTGTCCTTCCTCTTTGGAACCGGAGGAGATGATTCTCCATACCACCTAACTTCCTCAGGCCTCTTTAAAGGCAGTGGCACACCCAGCTATTTGTACCACTTCCCAAACTCTTAAAATCCATTCTTACGAAAGTTCAGCCACTATATCTTGTTGCCATATTAAAATGGTAACAGCTGTCATGAAGAGGAGCGGTTTTGCAAGAGGTTAGGAAGCCTTAAAGGGCATGGGCGGGTTGCTGTGCTATGCTTTCTTTGAAAGGGAGAAAGAGAACCAAAGAGATAAAGAAGGCTTATCTTCTCTGGCTTCTGGGTGGAGATGGTGGCAGCAGAAAAGCATGAATGCCGGGATGTGGGTGGTAACAGTTACTGCCCTTGCCTCAGGGGGCAAAACACACTGAACCACCACTAGCTTAAATATTCTTTTCTTTTGTTGCCATTAATTGTAAAATGGAGCTCTGGCATCTAAAGGACTGGTGGAGTAAATCTTCAGCAGCAGAAAAGAGCTCGATGTGTAGGCGTTCATCCTGATGGTTTTGCCTATGTTGTGGTCTCCACACACTAAATAGTTTTATGGGAAAATTTAGATGTAAAGGTGGATATCGGGATTTGAAAGGCAATAAACTATGAGGTCAGACTCCTTCCAGAGTTCGTCTGATGCTTTTAGTGTGCATTCTCTTAATTTTGCTAAAGCCGTAAAGCAGATGAGAACACATGAGGGAGGGTTAAGCATAAATTAATCTGCTGTAGTAAGACAAGTTCCATTAATACATGCAACCTTTACAGTATGTATTAGTGAGTGTATTTCTTTGAGTAGGTGCTCTGTATCATGCACACTAAGTACCGTGTGATGCAGAGACTTCAGTGGTAAGTATGAATTTTATGGCCTCGTGGAGTAATGGCATATATAAAAAAAGTCTGTGTGAGCCCCTTGTGAGTCTGTCTGCCTGAAGAGGTTTAAATTTGACTGGGGAAGGGACTGCACGGGTCAATAGAGGCTAGGGCTCTCAGTAAACTGTTCTTACCTCTTTGTGGTGTCTGTGCATTGCACCGATGGGGCTTTGTACCTGCGCAGAACAAAACTTAGGTGTAAAAATAGTAAAAATAGCTTTATCGCAGAAATTGAAGTTTGAATTGGGCATGTGTAGAAGGCAGAGTTATTCCTTTACTATTTAGTTCTTTTCTTTTTCTGCTGCAGTGGAGACAGTGTGAGGGAACCTCTGAGATTTTACCTCAGAGCTACGTTCCAGTTCATTTTTCTTTCACTTCTTGTACTGTTTTCATAATCCACAATTTTGCTTGGTAGTTTAGTTCTAGTATAGTCCGTTGCTGGAAGAATCCATTTAGAGTATCCTTGGACCTTTTAGGATCTTTGTGCCAATGGTCTACCGCAAAGACCACCTCCTGTAAGAAAGGCTGTTTGAGTGACGGAAACCTGCCCTCAGCTAACGGGCATGATTGCTGTCTTTTGTCCTGGGCAAGGCTCATAACACACCAAGACCAGTAAATACTACCTAAAATTTTACTAGACAGTCTAGAAAAAAATAGGAGTTTCTTTTGCAGTTGCTCTTGTGCGAGCATGCTCATTTGATACCTTGGGATGTCCAATGCAGCCTTGAAAACCGAAGGTCCCTTGATATTGGGCCAGCTGATTCTGCCAGCGCCCATCAGGGTAATCCTTCCTTGTTGAAGATGAAGTGACTACAGCCTAAAAAACAGAAGAAAAAGCAAAATCAATCTAAGAGTGGAAGGCAATGGTGAACCACCTCTACTCATCTCTTGCTTTGAAAGCCCCATGAGGTGGAACTTCAGGGGTTGCCATGGGTTGGCAGCAACTCAGTGACATACTTTATTTAGTTCTCACCACTGTTTCTTATTCTCCTGTAGCTGGACTGTGCTATTCAGTGCCCATCATCAGCACCAAACTGCCAGCTATTGATGCCTTGTACAGCAAATCCTTCATTCAGCCAAAGAATGTCCCACTTAAAGGCCCCCTGCTATGCCTCCTACATGGCTTTACAGGGGCCCAGGCCACCCCACCCATTACTGCACATGCCCCATCCTGATCTCACTCCTGGTCTGCTATCTCACATACATCAGTCGGACTCAGAGCCTCATTCTAAGAAGGCATCCGATTCTTCTCTGCCAGAACAGCTCTCCAAACTCTAGTGGTCCTCTCCGTTGAAGGATGCCTGTCTATATGCAGAACAAATGATGGGGATGGCAGATGTATTTGGACTACAAGTGTCAGGACAACTTCTTTCCAGGTCTGGTCCTATTCTGGGAGTACTGGATTCTGAGGCACGTACACCCATTGCCTTTCCACTGGTCCCTTGGTTTCCTGGATCTTGGCAAAGAATCCTGGACAAAACTGGCATCTGTTCTATCAGCTTCCGAGAAAACTGGGTGTATACGTCATCTTCAACCGGAAGGCTACTCTTCTGCTCCCACGTACCACCCAACTCAGTTTAGGGAAAGGGCAGCCCCCTCTGATCACGAAGGAGGAAAGCTGGATAATTTGGACAGAAGGGCTATACTACTGGGGTCATGTCATTTAAGATAGTATCGGGGTGGTGGGAAATGGTCAGTAAAATCAGTAAAAGTCAGTTTTTTCATCTTGGTCAGTAATTTGTCAGTTTTTTAAAAAATTGGTCAGTAAAGTCAGTATTTCTTTGATTTTTGTGAATGCAGTTTGTGTTTTTCCATTTTCATTACTGCATTTTTGGGGAAACATGATGACTTCCCAGTGAGAAGACAGATTGTTTTCAGTTTAGTTATGAAGTACTTTAAGGACTATGTTCCTAAGAGTAAAAGTGATTTAGTGAAATCTTCCACAGAGTATAGAAACATAATTCACCTCTTAAAACGTGAGACAATGAAAGTAGAGGTGATGGATATTGTAGGATTCAACATGGCACAGCTCATGCTAGAGGGAGTTGAGAAAGCAATGGAAGACGACGACAAGGGAAAAATGCTTGTGGATGCAGTGCAGAAAACTGTTGAGAACCGAAAGAGTTCGTGAATAACTTTATTCAATTTATACCCTGCCCTCCCTGTCACTTCTCAGATACTATTCAATTTATATCCTGCCCTCCCTGCCGGAGCGGGCACAGAGCGGCTTATGAAGAGATTAAACATATAGGTAACAAATTATACACAGTCTTAAGCCCCCCCGGGGCCCGGTGAAGGGACCCTGGCCATGGAACTCTCAAGAGGTTGCCTCTTCGAGGGCGGAATGCCTGAGAATTGAGGCACCGTTCCGACGGTTCTCCGTGCTGCGAGACAGAATGGGCTTAGCGACGCAGACCGAGCTGAGCGTAGGAGATCACTCGGCAGAAACAAAATGAAAGCGAGGTCAAATGACCGATTATGAACGTGAGTCAATTTCATAGCGTTTAAAGAGGAAAGATAGCTCCCCACCCCACTAAACGAGAGAAAAAAGCGAGCGGGGGAGGGACGCCTCCCATGCGCATGAATTTTTGAGCGATTGAGGGGGGGGAGCGGAAGAAAATGCGAAGAAAACTGCCTAGAAGTACTTACCAAAGCGAAAAAGCGAAGGGGTCTGACAGCCCGAAACCGGAAGCTACCAGTGAGGTGGCAAAGTCTATAGCGAAATATATGTGCCCTCTGCTGAAACAGCTGAATAACTTCAAGGAACAGATGTCTATAGTGACTTAACGTATTACTGCACAACAAACCCAGATAAACGATATGCTGCAAATAATGAAGCAAGATACTGAGAAGGTAAAGGAAGTGGCTGCAACTACCCAGAAGGTGAAGAAAAAAGTGCAAACGCTGGAAAGGAAACAAACCTCCATGGAAGAGCAACTGTTGCAAGTGCAAATGGAAAAGGCCAACATGATTCTTTGCTTCCAGGGCATGCCAGAGAACAGGGGGGAGAATCTTAAAAAAGTGATGAGTGAATTACTAGCCCCAGTGACAGAAATGAAGATGGAATTG